TGGAAAAGCCCCTAGAAACAGCTTGGGTAGGCCCACAGTCTGGGTGGGGCAGGGTCTCAGGGAATTACCAGGATAGAGCAAACAGTGATAACTGTTGATGGACTCTGAGATACAGCACCTGCCTGCCAGCTCTGTGGCTCTGTGGGAGGGGGTACTCAGAACAGGAACAATGTCCGCTGCCAGCACTTCTGTTTGGGAGGATGCTGCTCCTCCAGCTCTCACCCTGATGCCAGACACTTTAGTTCCTCCCCATATGTCATTGGTGTCTTTTGAGCTCCTGCCCCAGCACTAGAGCTCAGAGAGGGAGTCCATGTAAGTCCATGCACAGACAGACCCTTTAAGAGGATCTGCCTAGGGCTCCAGAACCCCTTCATCTCATTCAGCCATAATCCCCTTTGGATCTTATAGCCAGAAGGTATGGGGACTTGTCTTCCTGGAACTATGGGCTGGGGGACCTGACGTAAGGCTGGGACCATTTGCTCCTCAGGGAGGGCCTCTGTGGCCAAGATACCCCTCCCAATTATTATCTGCCACACGTGGGTGTGGGGCCAGCACCTCCTACCAGTCTCAATGTTGCCGGCCCTTTAAATCCCTAGTAGTAGGGCTTCCATTCAGCTAGATTTCCAGAATTCTGAATGATGGTTGTTTTGTACTTAAGTTGTGATTTTGCTGTATTTGTGGGAGGATATGAGTATAGCATTTACCTACACCACCATCTTGACCAAACGTTCACACTCTTTTGCCCATTTTGGAACCAAATTATTTGCTTTTTTTTTTTTTACTGTTGCATTTTTAGAATTTTTTATATGTATATGTGGTTTACAGATATTCTCTCCCAGTTTGTGGCTTATCTTTTCATCATCTTCACAGGATCTTTTGCAGAGAAGAAGGTGTTTATTAAAATTTTGATGAGGTCCAGTTTATCAGTATTTCCTTTAATAAATTTTGCTCTGGCTGTTAATTTCTGGAGTAGTTTTAAATTTAGTCATAAAATAACTGCCTTCTTTTTCTCTTGCTGTATACCAGAATACATTAGCAACATAAGCTGAATTGCATACAGACAAGTGAACTTAGAGAAAACAGATTGAAACTAAAAGGAAATAAAATGTCTGCTAAATTGGGATGGTGTTAAGTTAAAACATCCATTACAGCATTAAAACTGTTGATCATGGTGATGGTGATCTGTGTGTTAGGACATGTGTGTAAGTCATGTGTAGCATGATTTTGCTGTGTGTGTATTTTTACCTCAGAAACTCTGCAATGTAGATATTACCTCCATTTATATTCATGCATAGATGTGTGTGTGTGTGTGTGTGTGTGTGTGTGTGTGTAATCATTTCTATTTTACAGTTGAGGAAACTGAGGTTCAGGAAAGTTAGGTAATTGTGCTGATGGTCCCATAATAAATGACAAAACCTGGACTTGCCATCAGTGTTCTTTACTGCAAAGACTGTGCTCTTTAATAACTGCCATATATTCTTTGTTACTTTGTGTATCTTATGTAACTCGTGAGAATCAGAGTTGACCTCAGTGATGTGGCTGTGCTTGTTACTCTTCAAGTTCATACATTGTGTGCTATAGTACGTCAGCATTTTTTTGTGTTGTCAACTTTGGCTAATCTATTTGTACTGGAAATGGATCTTTTCTCTTTATTTTATTTCTTAGATATAAAATTGATAATACCATCTTTAGCCTGCATTGATTTGTACTTGTAGCACACATCTATAAGAATTTGTGTCACTCTTGAACTGTCGGTTTAAGAAAATGTGTTTACGGTTTACTGAATGTTACAAATTTAACTTAGAACAAATTTGGTTCTGTTTGACATAGTTCTAATATCAACATAATTTTTCCATGTAGGAAAAAGTTACGGTATTTCATTGGTGAGGGTGCATGACTAAAGGAGAGATGGAGAGCAGCCAGCCAGTAGCACCCCAATTTTATATTCCATTTGGTATATTTAAGAAATGACTAACGTATTTTTTAAAAGTAACAAGGGCAGTTTCAAAGATGACTTTACCGAGTCATATTATTTCTCATGAGAGAGTAATGCTGTTTCTTGGAAGTCACTGAAATAGTTTGCATATTTACAAATAAATGGCTAGATTAAGTAAGCACTGGCTATATTCCTGTTATAGTGGCTTTCTTGCCTGAAAGACTAAGATTCACATTACTACTGATATCGTTAGCATTGTCTGGCTTCATGTATACTAAATCAAAGTTTAAAGAATTCGTGTTCCTTTTGAATTTTTAAAATTCTTGCTATATTCAAAAGGAAGATAGTTTTTAAGTACTTCCTGGCATAATTAATCTTCTCTGCTAACTCCAATTTAGGTGTAATGAGATTTGTTGAGAAATTTGCATGAATTTACTCTCCATTCCCGTTGAGAACCTCTGTGCCTTGAATGTGTGGTCTGTGTTGGCAGGGTTTTGTTTAGGGGTGGCTCTCCGAATTGAGTGTTTTCCATATTTGATGTGACATACTCAGATTCCTACGTGCACTTTTCTAGCATAATAGGTTTTTAAAAATAAGAATATAAGTTTTTAAAGGCATGCTAATCAGTATTAAATAAAATATTTATTAGATTTTGAGGTATTTAGATCTTCATCTTTTAAAACAAAGTTTTTGTTGTATGAGAAGCAGGACTTTCATGTGAGTTTTCTTGGTTACCATTCTAGAGAATTTACTTAGGATATGTTACTAGTACTGGGGCTTCCCTGCTCCCCTCAAGCAAATAGCATTGTTTATAAAGGTTATTAGACCTTTAAGATAACGTCTCAGATTTGGGAGAGAGTAGAAAAAAAAATACAGAGAAACTACAGGAGTAGGGGTAGAGAAGAACTTCTTGATTTTAATAATGTAGCCAAGACTAGTTGACTTGGCCAGTTTGGAATATTGTTTTATTATATATTTTACTATTATAATTACTATATATTATAATTACAGTCATTTATCTTACAGTTGCATCACTAAATAGGGGGCCATTGAATCTTGAAAAGATTTCTTTGACTTTGCTAAAAATCTTAGTATTTTTGGATCAGACTAAGGATAATACATTTTAACTTTTTTTTTTAAACTGGGGGTACAGTCCTGCCCCTCCTTTTCCACTGACACAGTCCCAGTTGTCGTCACGTAGGCTTCCACTATTCACACAGCCTCTCACTGGTCATCCTGATGTTACCTCTTAACCAAGTCACTGTAGACAGTGCTGCTTTCCATTAACCTTCAGGGGAAGAGCCTCTTTCATCACGTCACTTCCTCTGCTAAAATGCCTTAAAAACCTCTTCATCTCTTGGAAGATAGAAAGCTCTAAGTGGGTGGAGGCTATTTTAAATTATTCCTTCAGGCCCCTATTCATATCCTCCTGCTCAGAAGTCCCGTAACCTTTATAATCTTCACATAGTTAGCCCTTGATTGCGTGTGGTATTGTTTTCAGTTTCATCTGTGTGACAGGTACGAGCTTCCTAAATTAAAGTATATCAATCATACTTTTAAAAAATAGAATTCAGTTACTGCAGTGAATTGCATTATATTCAATACATGTTAATGATCAAAGTTTTCATTTTCTGAATTTTTTTCAATCTTGCCACAGCACTCAAATGTATTATTGAAATGTAATTTTTAACATTATGTGCCCACTGAATGCATAGCGTGGAGCTGGGGAAGGCAGCTCCCGTGCTTACACTATGCCTCATTTTTCTTACATTTCAGTTTATGTCTGCACTTAAAACCAGATTGTTTTTGACCAAATCTCTATCAGTTATGTCAAAGAAGTTGAGATATACCTCTATGATAAAAACAAAACAACAAAATTTTCTGTAATGGCTATATAGTTCAGATCATTTTCCTATAAAATATAAGGCATTACTTTGTACTTACAGGTATTTATAATACTATCTTACAATAACAGTTATGGGGAAGAGGGTATATTATTCTGTTTGCCTGTTTACTCACTCTGTGCTTGGCACAGTTTTTCAGTTATTCCCACAATAAACTTAAGAGATGGGGAATGTCCCAGATTTCCAAAGAAACTGGGTGCAGGATCATACAGCTCATAACCAATACATCTGTTCATAGACGGACTAATTCTGGAGCTTCTCTGCTCTCTGTCCTGATGAGACTTCCAGCATTGCTGACATGCTCCTGTAGAGGTGGTTTAGGAAAGTGAAACTTAATTTTCAAAGTAGGTAAAACATTGAAATTACTAGCAATACATTATGATATAGTGGTAGTAACAGTTGTCAGTAGAAATGCTGTATCTATTTTGAAAAATTTTAAACATTCAGAGAAGTTAAAATAATAAAACAACTAAGACCATACATACCCTTCACCTAGATTCACTAGGAGTTGACATTTTTCTAGATTTGCCCCCCTCCCCCTCCCCCTCCCTCCCCTCCCCTCCTCCCTCCCCCATTCAAAGGTAAGTTTCAGACATCATGGCACTTCACCCCTAAACACTTAAACATAAATTTTTTTAACATTTAAGGATATTGTCCCTATAAACATTATCACACCTAAGAAATTTGATGTTAATTCAATAAAATCATCTAATGTTCATTCCTCATTTCCTATTATTCCAAAAAATGTCTTTTATAGCTGATTTTTACAATTTTCTTCTCCAACCCAGTATTTAGTGAAGGTTTATTTTTTGTATTTATTTGTTATATCTTCTCAATCTCTCTTAATGTTTATATGTATATATATATATATATATATATATATTTTTTTTAATGCCTTTGGAAACCGTTTTGAAGAGGTCGGGCCAGTTGTCTTTAGAGCATTGCGCACTCCGGGTTTGCCCTATTGTTTCCTCGTTGCTAGGTCGACTTGACTTGATGTTAAGCATTTTGGGCAGTAATACCACATTTGTGATACATACTTCTCATTCCACTATTATGTGAAGGAGTCTGATGCGAACTTTAATCATCTGATGTATTAATTTGTAGTTCATAACAACAAAGACTTAATTGTTTGAATTCTCTCCTCATTTTTCAAATAGACAACGACCGAAAGACCTTTCATTCAGAAGCTTTTTCGTCCTGTGGCTACAGATGGACAATTGCATACATTAGGAGATCTCCTGAAAGAAGTCTGTCCTTCTGCAGTTGCTCCTGAAGGTAATACAGTCAGGCAATCGTGAAGCATTGCTTTCATTTCTCTTTGCTACTGCGGTAATGTAAGCATTCTGCATTTATAAATAATTTGTACTACTTACTTCAGGAACGTATTTTCATTATCTTGTAGGAAAAAATCTTTTGGAACAGAAGCACTTAAATTTCATTTATTATTTTATAAATTATTGACACTAACAAAATAAGGAATTAAGGAATCTACTCTCATTGGTGAAATAAAACACACTGTTCTTAAATCATCCTCTTACCATATCTTTGGTGTCCTGGGTCTCTCATTTGTGGATTCATTTCTGGTAAACGTTATTTTTAATCTTCCAGTGTGTTTCTTCATTTTAAAAAAATGAGAAATAATAAAATAAAATTTCTTACTTTGTTTTTCTTAATGAAATATACTTCCCTTTCCTGGCATTACTGTGTGTATCTATCACTTCTACATTGCACAGAGTGAGCTCAGTGTGGGGAGGCGGGTGGGGCGAGGACATCTAAAATAACAGGAGAGGAACATCTGAAATACTAACAGAACCAGCATCAGAAGAGATTGATTTTAAAAAATAAAATTATCGGCCACTGCTCAGAATTATTGAAATTGGACAGGTTGTATTGGTTTAAGAGTTTATAAATACATTTTACGTCTTACTATCGTGTGTCATCAGTGTGCTCTGCTAGACCATATAGTAGCGGTTTTTGCTGGAGCCTCACACATCCTCAGAATCCAATCACTGAATTCTTTCTTTGTGTCATTACCACAAACATTCTTTATGGTTATTAAATCAAGGCATAGTTAACATGAAGTTGATTATACTACTCTCTTCAAATCTTAATCTATTTTTGTTGCTGTATAATTTTAGTTTTCAGTGAGGATTTTAATTAACTTTTTGGCAGTTGAATGATTTTTATTTTCAATGAATTTATTGAGTTGTTCAGTCATTGCTGCCATCTAGTTTTAGAATATTCCTATCGCCTCAGTAGTTCCATTGTGCTTGTTTGCAGCTGGCCTGTGCTCCCCTGGCCAATTGGAGACAACTGCTGGTCTGATGTTTGTCTCTGTAATTTGCATCTTTTTAATATTTCACATAAATGAAATACAAAATCACGACTGGCTTTTTTCACTTAGCATGTTTTTGGTTTGATCCAATTTGTAGTGTGATTCAGTAGTTTCTTCCTTTTTATTGCTGAAGAGTAGTCCATTGAGTATGTATGTCATATTTTATTTATTCATTAACCAGTTGATGGACATTTGGATTGTTTCCACCTTTTTTCTGTTATGAATAATGCTGCTATAAGCATTCCCATACAGATCACTGGGTGGACAAATATTTTCATATTTCTTGGGTAGATAGATTCCTAGGAATGGAATGGCTGGGTGGTATGATAAGTTTGTGTTGAACTTTTTAAGAAATTGCTGAACTTTTCCAAGTGGCGGCACCATTTTATGGTCCTGCCAGCAATGTTCGGTTCACGTTCACGTTCATGTCCAGTTTGTTCACGTTCTCACCAGCCTACACTTGTGTCTCATGGCCATCCCAGTGGTTGTGTAGTGGTGTGTCAGGGTGAGTTCAGTGTTTATTTCTCCAGTAACTAGTGATGTAGAGTGTGCTTTTATAGATTGATTGTTTTGTTACAAGTCCTTTATCAGACATGATTTGCAATCATTTTCTCCTAGTCTGGGTCTTGTTTATTTTATTTTAAATATTTGAATTTGATGAAGTCCTGTTTCTATCCAAGTTTTTATGTTTTGTATTCAGTTAATAATTTTAAAATTGTTTTCTGGTAGATAATAATATATAGTTCTAAAATCAAAATGTATTTAAAGGAGTTGATAGAAAAAGTTTTTTTCCTAACTTTTATTCACCAAACCCTAACCCAGTTCCCCTATACAGAGATAGCCAATATTGCCATTTTCCTGTATATTCTTGCAGAGATAATTAGATAGACTTTTTATTTTTGAAGTCAACTTACAGAAATTTTGCGTGGGATATTCTCAGTAACTTTTATTGATTTAGGGATACCAACTGTTCCACTTTATTTTTTCCATGCTGTGTGTAAGGGTTTGTTTGTTTTTAAAAGTCTATTTAATGTCTGTTTTGCTACTTTCTTGAAGATTTGAGGATATAGACTAGTTTTTTCCATTTGAAGTATAATTAAGAGATTAATCATTTTTATTGCTAACAGAGATGGGACCCATAAACCTCATACTTCCCCCCACTGTAAGCATTGGCTTTTAATTACATCTCTGAAAAATAAATGTACATGTAGGGTATGCACATTTCTTTGCACTGTATTTTTCTCTCTTTTTGAGTACTTTGTAGTATTTTAAAGAACATTGAAGAAATGCCTTTATCAATTAAGAGTAATTGAAATTTAAGCTATAGACATAACAATGAAACTCAAAACCTTGGGAAAAAACTGCTCTGCTGTAAGGTCTGTCCCCCAGCCAGCAGCACACTCGCCAGCAAATAGACCGATGCAGAAAACTCAGTGGAGAAGAACCGGAAGAAATGTGTTGGGTGTTAGTTTTGTGTTTGATATCTTTCAAGAACCTTAGAGTTATTTGTTCTTCTCTTCATTTATTCTAGATGATTTGCTAAAGGTCTCTGGGCTACTTATTGCAGCACTAGGTTTTAGACCTCAAGTCTCCTTATCCTGGTCCATTGTTTTTTCCCAGTGTACTATGCTGCCATTTATTTTTGTTCTCACTTTTTCAGCCTTTTAACTTTTTTTGTTTACTTTAAAATAACATTCTAAAATGTTTACCTTTTCCCAACTCTTTATTCTGTGTTTTGTGTTCAATACCTAAATCTCACCTACTTACAGTTCTCTCTTACAGTATTTCCTGGCATGATCTTAAGGAACTGAATTTCTACTATATTTACTTTGTTCATTTTGTTATTTTGGAGCGCTCCTATATATGCATCTGACCACCCTTGTTGAATTTATTAAAATAGTGGCTGTGACATTCAGGCATTTAAATGAAAAGCAGTCACACGCTTTGGGTCAACAGAATGCACCTTTTTGCCCTGTTGCCATTTGTACACCCAGATCATAACACATGCAGGATTAACATGGCCCTGAACGGGAAAGACACACAGATTTGTGAGGCTTTTTATTCTTTTAAAGCTTTTTTTTTTTTAGATTTTATTTATTTTTAGATAAAAGGGAATGGAGGGAGAAAGAGAGGGAGAGAAACATCAAGTGTGGTTGTTTCTCACCTGCACTCCCTACTGGGGACCTGGCCCACAACCCAGGCATGTGCCCTGACTGGGAATCAAACCGGCAACCCTTTGGTTCACAGCCCACACTCAGTCCACTGAGCCACACCAGCCAGGGCTATTCTTTTAAAGATTCTTTATTCTCTTCTAAAATTTTAGCATGTCCTTACATGTACATTTATTCCTGAAGAATATACAATATGACTTCTTTTTTTTTCCTTTCAAATTTGCTTCTTAGGTGTTTTCAGATGCTGTAGGTGGGATATCTTTGTGTGGCAGTCTTTTCTTTGCACCCAAATTGTCACATGCTCATATTTATCCAGAAACACATACACTCATGCACACACACACATATTATTGAAATGATACAAATAGCACCTATATTTTCAAACAACTTTTGATTGTACCTTTTTTACCAGGAGGAGGCCACATTTCTAACACCAGTATTTTATCTTTGGAAAAACTTTTATTTGCTTCTTCCTTTTGTCGCCTCATATTGGAAAATAACTGTCATTTCAGGATCTGTGGGGAATATCCAAAACAAGTCACTATTTCAGTAAAGAACTATTTACTGTCTCATTCGGGACACCTGTGGCATTGCTAACTGTGAAGAAGCATTTTGAAACATCTGCACCCAACTTAGGTTGAAAGCGAAAGACTTTGAGATTGGGTGTGTTTGGATAAGAACTGGCTGTCATCACATGATAAATAGAGAAAGTACTTTATAAAAGTTACATGGCACCATTGTCTGCTATTCCTTAAAAGAAATGATTCATGCATGAAGGAATTTTGCCTTTATTTCATCAGATGAAGGTAGAAGGTACTAATAATCATGAAGATGTGCTTTAGGTCATTGTTCTTGTGGAGTAACTAGAGGTGCTTTGTGTGTTTCTTTTGTTGTTGTTTTATATGTGGCTAAAGGAGTTACCCAAGTTAGGGGTAACAGGAAGTAGCCAAAGGTGAGCTCAGGTAAGTTTTTTCTATGGTGTCAGCCTTAGTTAAAATGACTCAGAGAGCTAAGCTTCTGTACCAGACCTGAAGTGAACTATTTTTTTTCCTTTGTTTATTAAAAACAATGTACCAGAAAAAACCAACAAAGGTTAAAAGCCATCGCATTTTTATTTTTTTTAGCTTGGGACAATACAAAACACTTATAAACTTTGCCCAATCATATTTCATTTCCCACTTTTCTAATGCATAAAACCTAATAGGTTAGGCTTATGAGACTAAAAATGTCTATTCAGACTTTTATAAGTTTATTTCAAAGTCCCAGTTGGTCAGTCCTCTAACAGTTGGGCTGTTTTAATCCTGACCTCTTACTGATATTTAAGAATGGAATGTATATGTAAGGACAGGCTTACATTCCATGGCAAATTAGTAGACTCCCTTCATCTCTCTTAGCAACAAATACAATCCTGTGGCCACGTGCTTTTGTACTTTTCCATTTCTGCCCTGCTTCGTGGGAACTTACCTAATTTGAGACCCTTCCCAACCACCATTTTAATTTTTGGTTTCCAGTTGATGTTGTAGATTTCATTATTTATCATTAAATGTATTTGCATTATTCATCATTAAATTTCTGCCACTGGGGATATTAAGATGTGTTAAGACATAGTTTCTGCTTTTAAGAAACTTGGGTCCAGTTGGAGTGGACAGAAAGATGTACAGATGTGGTATGTATAGGAATAGAGATATGCAAAGAATAGTAGGAGGCACATAGAATTGCTTTTTTATCCATTCTGGAGTAGGTAGTGAAGAATGAGCTGTAAAAGGCAA